TTATCATAAAGTTTTATCTAAAGCTTGCTTATAGACATTAAAGCTTAAATAACAATAAGTTATAATTAATAATAAGTAGAATAATGATACATATTACTTTTTATTTAGCAAAAAATATTAAAAAAAATCATAATAATATATCCCTATAAAGTTTTGAAATCTATGTACTTTCTATCAAGTTTTGAATTTGTTCAAGCAACCATTTTTTCCATTTTTTTCTTACATATACATTTTATTATCATAGTTGATGTTCCAAGTAAGATATTGTAGAACTTCTACTATTTATTTTTTATGATGGTTTCTTTTCATATTTCATTGCAATATATTAATTTGTACTAAAGCTAGCATTAGCAAATGTGATTAAATTACTTGATTTTTTTATAATTTTAAAAAAATAATCAAAATTAATAGAATAAGAAAGTTTGAGAATATTCATAGAATATATGATGATATTTCTTTAATACAAGGATTGTTCATATGTGCAAGTTAGAAGTTCGTGCCTTGATGTGGATTAAATTATAATTTTGGCTTGAATTGAGATATCACGTAAATCACAAGAAGACAAATTAGAAGTGACCATTGTGATGAGATGATTGATATTTATTGAATGATTGTTACTTGTAAAAAAAAAAAAGAATATATATATATATATATATATATGTGAATGCATATCAAGATTTAAAGATAATGGATGTCATAACAATAAGGTAATGGTAACCTTTGTATTGTCAAATCTGGTATTGACAAGTTTTATTTATTCATTATATCTTATAGTAGAATCAAAGCACTTTCGGTAGGTGAAACAATCGTGCTTGCTTGTAATGGTATGGCTATATTATAAACATTTATTTTAAATGTTTATTGCAGATTTATTTGTCTCAAAGCTCTTTTGAATTAAATGTAATTTTTATCTAATCTTATATTTTGAAAAAAAACTAGCTTATAATCAATTGGTATCTAAATTCTATATATTTTTTTTTAAATCATAGCCAACAAATGATCCAACTTTAGTATTAGTTTGTAGTTTGTTTCTTTATTTTTATTCTATTTATAGATAGATATGGAAGTCAAAAACTTTCTAAAAAAAGATATCTAATTTTTTATCAAAGAGTTTTTAAAATGGTATTATTTAAATAGATTTTTTATTGAAAAAATATTAATAAATAATACAATGATGTTGATGACTTTGGTCTTAAGGAATATTGAGATGCCAACTTAAAGTACCATGTAGTATCTTATATTGAGCAACTTGTAGTTTGTTCTTTTTACTATATCATTTTATTTTGAAATTCTAATATTAGAAAATTCTCTTTTCATTCTTATATCTTAGTATAGTTTTATGAAATTATTAGAAAAAAACTTTCTTTTATTGTTACTTTAAATATATTGTAGCCACTTTTTAAATTAAATTTTAATCATATTCTTAAATACTCTAAATTTTTTTAAAGCTTAAAATTTAAACTAGAAAAAATTTATCCACACATAATTACTATAGTTTTTAACAATGATAAACATGTGATTTCAGCCTTCAAGAGATGTCATCAAAAAATAATCATAGAAAATTATATGTAATAATTTTAATACCTTGGCTGCTCGTCAATTACTTTTCTATGAAAATTTAATTCAAGTTTATTTTTCTTCTTGGTATCTTTTATATATTTTAAAATATATTAAAATATAAGATAAACATGTTATGATTTCTTTTGCTATAAGTTTATCAAAGCATAAATAGCTAATATGTCCCAAAATAATGATATTATAGCCTTATGGTGTATAAGTTGGTCTGAGTCAAATTCACTATAATATCCAATAGTTGTGATGAGAATTAATAGAATCTATTTTTTTTAGTCTTAAGTTCTTATACTACAATCTATTAGTAGCCCTTATTATAAAGAATTTATTTTTTGTGATTGAAATATGCTACAATACTATGATTTATGAAGAAGCTTATTAATAACTAAAAAAAATTTAAGACCAAGAACATTAAAAATACCAAGGATTACTTTTACTTCATTAGATGGAAATTTAAAATGAATAATATCTCTACAATTGATTGGATAATTTGTATTAGCTATTATTTTAATATTATTGCTAAAAAAAACTCTATGCTATCAAAGTTCTATAGATTGCCACTCACATGCTATTGTGACACGAGTCCAAGTCTAAGCCGTGTTTGTTTACTAAGGAGATTGCAACTTCAAACACTTGATTATTTGTAATATTTCCTCCAAAGGCAATGTCATCTATGCAAATTTGAGAATTTGGCCACATTTATTCTTCTTGCAAGAGATTTGGGAATTAAAAGGTAATGTCAAGTTTGGCCATACAATTAGATTCAAGCTTTTGAATATATACCAATCTCTCTTGACATATGTGTTTGAAATATTTGGACTTCCTGCAATAATAGTTTTAAACTTGCTAAGAGACATTTCTTCCAAATCCATAGGCTATGTGAGGTGCGAAGAAGTTGGATATTAGTTTTGTGGGGCATGTAGTATATCTCTAATGTACCACTGGCAGATAGTTCAACCAATATATGTCTGAATTGGAAGAAGTAATTTTCAATGCCTAGTCCGTCTGAAAATACTATCAGGCTTAGCCTATTCTTCAAATCAAACTTTCTATTGTCATGAGCATTCTCAAATAAGATATGTAAGAAATCCCCAAGCTCCTTTGGGTTTTGATAGTTGATGAGCAAGGAGAGGAGACTAGGTCTGATGAACATTATTAATATATACATGAGCCTTTCTAACCTATCCTCACTAGACTTTTCAGCATCAAAATCCTTAGTGTTTGGTCTATTGCCCTTTGTGAAAGTGCTCACAGTGGGGTTTGACTGAATGTCACAGAGTTTATCTCACTTAGCCATCCTTGTAATCAGGTACTTTCATAGGTGGAAGTTTGATGATTGTGTTAGCTTGACCTCCTCCGGAACTGGGTTGTCTTTCGGCATGATGGAGATAGTTATTGGAAAAAAAATTAAAAATGTAACAGATTTCTATAACGAACATACGCTCGCTTTGATACCATAAGAGAACACAGAATACAGACACATAATGTGCTTAGACACAAGCACAGAAATTGGATTCATGAGTTGGCGATACAAATACTAGCCAGTGAGGCCGGTCTGGTATCCGAGGATGAGACCCGGAGACAGAACTTGATACCCTGGAAGGGTGAAATACGAACAGGGTGTCTGTAACAGAGGGTAATTTGCAGCATGGTGGAGGATTTCTCCCCACTCCTCGGATTTTCCATCTCCAGTGGCACATGCCAGCTCTGCCTGAGTCGCCCCTCAAGTTCAAAGTTCCTCATGTCAGAAGAAGCACTTGGGGACTTCAACACCCATTTCACAGCTTTCTGACAACGGTGCCTTCGATAAAGATGCTCCAGCGATTCGGCATTCATTAGGTACTCAAAATTGCGTCATATAGAATTGGCTCCACCCACACTCCAACGCATGTACTTATACTTTTTGCCATTAATACTGGGAAATACTGCTTCTATCACTGCAAGGACACGAATCCTTTGTCTTTGGTGCTCACAGGTCCACAAAGCGGCTAGATTTATAGCACGACGCGAGGGTGATATAATGGTGGAATTTTTATTACAATGTAACATGTGGTATGATAAAATTTGTGTGCTTTGTTGTATAGTTAATACATAATATGAAATCATCTTCCACCTCATCAATCTGCAAATTTTTCTATCAGATAAATGATCTAACTGTAGATGTATGGAGTAGTGGTGCTATGAAGGATCATAGTATGTGTATTGTAAGTTAAATGTTTGATGTCTTTTTTCCAAGTAGAATGATGGTGGTGGAGTGAAGTATTGTGAGTGGGTCATTTTTTTGTATGTAAAACATATAAGAGCAAATTTGGCTCTTTGGAATTTAAAAGAATAAAAACATCTCTCATTCAAAATAACTACAAAACTGTAAATACCTCGAGAATCTATATCAAAAGAAAAAAGAATACAGACATGCAAGGCATTATATTAATTTAATTATTTTTGGAGGTTATTTTGTAATCCGTCTTATTAATTTTAGATATGATCATGAAACCAAATTCTTTCTTGAATTTTAACAACAAAATTTGAAAAAAAATAATCCTAATAGAAGGAAAAAGAAAAAGAAAAAGGGCGGTCATGGAAACAGGGGAGCTGATTTGAAGAATAAAAGAATAGATGTAATGAGACAAGGATTTAAAGAAGTTCTATATTTTTTTCTAATACAAACCCATAAACATGTAATGATATATTAAAATATGAAAACACTTAAAATGAGATAAAAAAATATTTTAACCATCCATTTTTATTTTTTGGGTTAAATATTTAATTTTATAATGTAAGTAACCATTATTTGGTAATAGCCATTAAACAATTACCAAATACTTACATAACTATTATTTGGTAATAGCCATTAAACAATAACCCAAAAATCACTATGGGCTAATTTAAATCATTTCCATTAATTACTTCACCCAAATTAGAAAAAATTAGCAATAAGGTCAAGTTTTTATACTTTTTCAAATATACTCTATATGTTTAAAATATTTTATTATAAATTTGCAGTCGTTTTATCTATAATAACTCTATCAAAGTGTTTAAAATAATTAATATACTAATTTTAAGTTTTGATGATTAGAGCTTATCATCATATTCATATTTCTCACCATAATTTCATCACCAATTAGACATTATTGTTGCATTTTAAACAGAACATTTATTATGTATGTATCGATAAATAGAACTAAATATATGTGAGTGATACTTTCATTATGAATTGCTGCTGGTACTATTTTCGAATTAAATAAATGACAAGATCGAACTACATTGATGTTACTGTTTTGAGTTTTTGCATAAGAAGATGCTTGGACTGTTTTGGTTTCTTTTATATTGCAATACACATCCAACACAAATTTTCTTTTTTTCTTTTTTTTTTGGTGTATGTAGGTTTCTTCAACATACAATAGCATACATAAGGTAAAACTTACAAATACAAACCAAATTACTTGTTTAGTCAAGCAGCTTTAAAACAAGAAGTGCTTGGACAGTGGCGTTGGAGACAAGCCAATGGCTTGTACTTAGTAAATATACGAATATTCACATTTTGTGAATCTTCAGCACGTACACTTTTCTGGGGACCCAAGCTTACCTTAAGAGAATCTAAACATGGTAGGACCCTAAAAGCAAACGCATTTTGTTGTCGCTCAAGCTTTACAGCCCTATCAACTACAACCTGTACACACTAAAGAATCCCTACCGAGATTCAATCATGAGAGATCTACATGCGCTTGGTTGTAGCCATTCATGTTCATAAGAGAACATTTAACAAAAGATAATGCTGGAGTATACATAAATCATTTAAGATTGTAAATTTAACCGATCACGAATCCTGGCCATTGTTGCAGGTTGGTGACTTACGAACTTATGTCATACCACGTCAAAACAATGTGAGGAAAAATATCTAAAACCATCACACGCCCTCGTCACGGTCATCGTCTCCCTATGTAGGATGCTACTGAGTACGTAAGGATTGTGAGTCTGACATCACAGCTACACCACAAATCTAACCGTCCAAGCTATCGTCATCATCATCGGGAAGAGGCATCGACTGCGCCTTAGCGAGCTCGGCTTCATACTGAGCCTGGGCAGCTAAGTCGATCTGGACTTCAGGAGGTGCAAGAGCTGGAGACTCCACGAAATGCAAATTGGCATCACCAGCTAGCTTTCTCGCAAGGTACAGGTAAGGCTTCTCGAAATTATAGTTCGACTTTGCGGAGATCTCATAATACTGCAGGTTCTTCTTCCTGTGAAAGGTCACTTGTTTGGCCTTCACTTGTCTATTCTTCACATCAACCTTGTTCCCGCACAGCACGATCGGGATGTTTTCGCTAACCCTGCACAGATCTCGATGCCACGTGGGCACATTCTTGTAGGTTAACCTCGCAGTCACGTCAAACATGATAATAGCACACTGCCCGTGGATGTAGTACCCGTCACGCAGCCCTCCAAACTTCTCCTGTCCAGCAGTGTCCCAGCAGTAGAACCGGATGCGGCCACAGTTCGTGAAGAAATCCAAAGGATGAACCTCAACTCCAATTGTAGGCTCGTACTTCTTCTCGAACTCTCCAGTCAAGTGACGCTTCACAAAGGTGGTCTTCCCCGTCCCTCCATCTCCAACAATAACAAGCTTAAAACTGGGACAGTTATCGGGGGTAGTCTGACCAGGTAACGCCATCTTGGAGATCTAAACAACACCTCTACAAGCAGCAAACTCAAAAAACGGAGAGCAGCTGCAACCAGTGGCGTTGAGAGATGCCGACAACGATAACTGCAGGTCGTGGTTGGGAAGGAGGAGTCTATCTAGGCGAATGTTTCCAGCAACCGCGGGATGTCCAGGATGATTTTAGATCCCGAATCCTCACATGCACGTTCTATGGCTCCAATCCTGCATTGCAGAGTGGCAAGTGATGATCCCTGACTTCAAACGCCGCTGGAAGGTTGCTCTCGAACAGCCTTGGATTAGGTTTCGCAGGCGCTCTCGATCGCTCTGCACGTCTAAATCCATTCCTTCTCGTCTACGCGTCACTCGATGTGGAACTCGAGATGAGAGTCGACGCGCTGGCGTGACGGCGTGACTCAAACTGACAACCCCGCAAACAAACACAAAGTAACCAAATTTTCAGTGATTCATGCAGCAACATTAAAGGCCCGTCTTATTTGAGATATACTGATACCCTGGAATTAACTTATCCGGATATCAGTATTCCGGATACCATGCTGACGCGATCACGGATTTCTCCTTCGTATCTTTAATTGCATATTCAATCTCTAACTGTGACCAATTGTTCGGATTACTGTGAATTTCAAAAAGTTCTTGACCACCTTAAATGAAATTACTTTTTATCATAAGTTTTTTAAAAAATTATTATAAATCTATATTATAATAAACCTTAATAGATTTAATATATATATATATATATATATATAGTTTTTTAAAATTAAATTTTATTTAAGTGATTGATCAAAGAAAATAAATACATAGGAAGAACTTGCAAAAAAATATTTCAGAATATCATCAATTTTTTTTATATTTTTTTGTGAATTTTTTAGTCTATTTTAGAGATATGAAAATAGAATTTTTATTACAATAGGTTTATATGTTTATACTTAAAACTCTTTAAATCTAAGTTAGTCTTCTAAACATTATGAACTCTTTTGCTTTAACCAATTTCCATTCTTCCCATATATGAATACCTTATAACCTTAAATAGTTAACTTTGAGCACAATTAATTCTAACATTTTGTTTTTCATAAGTTACACTAAGACATGTATGTTAAATTTTTAACAAATCATATATAAGTATTTTATAATAATCCAAAATCCATCAAAGCTCTGAATGTTTTTAAGCTTTTTGTTTATTTAGAACTGTTATTCCCTATTTTGACTACTATGTTATGCATAACCTGCTTAATATAACTTCAATAGACATAAAAAATCGAGTCTTGTTGTTATATAGTTATAGAAAACCTTTGCATAATTGTTTTAAAAATAAAATAAAAATTTAGAACGATAAGCTTTTGAATATCTAACCTCATGATTTTAAGAGAAGTCCAGATATTTCTCTAATTTAAAATTTTATAGACAAAAAATTATTTATTACCTAAATATTATTTTTTTGAAAAAATTATAATAACTACTCAAAATAAAAATCTAAAATAATATAAAAGTTGAATACTTCCATTCATTGCAATAGTTAAAATTGTATATTTTTATTTATTGATTTTATGCTATTTATAATTTTTCATAATTCTTTTAAAGTAAAATATTGAATTTTATTTTTAAAAATATATGTCAAAATATTAAAATTCATATTGTTTAAGTTGAAAAGTTTTTAATCATCCAACAATCATCAACACTTAATTTACATTTTAAACACTTCCATTGTAAAATTCTTCTATATTTATTCATTTATTTTATCTTATAATATAAAATATATTTAGCTAAAGATTTTATTTGTAATTGTATTTTTATCTCTTTTTATCTATTCTATACTTATTCCAAAGTTTAATGTCAAATAAATTTTGTCTATATCTCTCTTTTGACTTTCTCACTTAAACAATATATTAGCATTTGGTATGAATATCTTTATTCAATAAAATCTATATACTACAAAAAAAATATAATATTCTAAGTATTTAATACTTACAAAATATTCCTATCATAATTTGGAAATTTTAATTATTTTATATTCTATCTTTAAATTTTACTATTATTTACACTTTTAGTAAAAATAATGCAAAAAATTCTTATGCTCTTTTCTACTGAAACTCTTCAAATTTAATGTACTACTTATTATAAAATTTTAATAAAATTATAAATAAAATTATAATAAATAATAGGATAATATCAACATCAAAAGTGGTGTCACGCACATACTTATATAAGCTAGTAATTACATATACAAATAGGTGGAAATAAATAAAAGTAGGTAAAAGTAAATTAATTCTATAGTATTTAATATGGAAGCTTCGTAGAAGTTTTATAGATGTTGCTTTGACTTCATAGGTGTCTTTAATTGACTTTTTGGATTAGAAACGTGGTCAATAAGTTGGCCATGTGCCACACATGTTGTTAGCTTGAAGATCAAGCTAACTATGTGGCCCACACGTAGAAAAACTTACCTTGTAAGTCAAGGCATGTATCCTACAAAGTCAACACATATTGGAGGTCCTATAGAACGTCGCCACGTAGTCCCTAGTTGGATAGTATCTATAGAGACAAGAGAGAAGCCTTCTTCACTCTTGTCAACTCCTTTCTTGCTTCCAGTCTAGTTTCAGGGGTCTCTAGTTTTTCTTGTCTTTTGGCAATAGCCATTCCAGTTTTTCTTTCAATATACATATTTATTTATTTATATTTCTTTATCTTTCTTTGAGTGAAGGCTCACTTGTCTGAATTGTTTTTTCATTGAGTTCTTGTCCTTGACAAATTAACAAGAGTACACCTACAACATCAGAGCTTTGTCTAATCTTGATTAAAAGTGGATTACCTCTTTTTCTTGATAAGATTTAAGCATATTAGAAGTTGCGGATTACCCTCTTTTAAACTGATATTGTTTTTAGTATTTTCTTTGTTTCCAAGTCCTCTCTTCTATTTGTCTTGAGCGATATTAGACATCTTCTCTTTTTTAAGTGTTATCATGGCTAAACTTGTTGAAATGAAGAATGCAATGGTACAAATACAAGAGCAATTGAGGGAGTTAATGCCTGTGATGCATCAACTCAATTTACCACCACAAGGAGCAATAAGATTGGCAGGAAGTGAAGATATAGAAATGGTTGGAGCTGCTTCAACATCTGCACCAAACCATATGCTTTCTCCTATGATGGAACATCCTTCAAATGTTAGAGAACCAAGAATTACCCTACCCAAGAAGTTTGATGGCACCAGATCCAAGTTTCGAGGAATTATCAATCAAGTGCAACTTCTGATTAAACTTCAACCCCAAAGCTATTCAACTCCAGAATCGCAAGTTAGATTCATTGGTACGCTTCTTTCAAGTTTAGCATTATGGTGGTTTTCATCTTTTCTTGCACGATGAGATCCAATATTAGATAATCTAGAGGCTTTTCTGGTAGAGTTTTGATTCATGTATGGAGAACTTTTTTGGTGGAGTTTCAATCCATATATGGAGAATATGATGCAATTCGTGTTGCAACCAATAAGATCCATATTTTACGACAAGGTAATCGATACGTAACGTTGTACGCTTCACAATTTTGACAACTTACAACTGATATCAAGTGGAATGATGCTGTACTTATTAGTCAATTTCTCTACGGATTACAATATGAGATTAAAAAAATTAATGCTCAACTTACCTGATCTTCAAACATTGAGTCAAGCAATTGACTTTGCTGTGAAGTGTGACAATTGCCTTTTTGAATTCTGATCTAAGAACCTTACAAGTAAACCTCAATGTTACTATAATTCAATGGCAATTCCAACACCTCTTCAACACATACATTCGGAAGTAGAGGATATGCAAATTGATGCAGTACGTTTCAAACCTCTTACTGAGCAAGAAAAGACTCGTCGTCGTCAAGAAGGATTATGTTTATATTGTGGAGAACCAAAGCACACTGCTCAACATTGTCCAAAGAAATGACGCAATCACAAAATGAGGAGTATGGCTGTGAAAGAAGACAATATGTCAGAAAACGAGTTTGTCCAACTACAATAGGGACCGTGCGGCTGGAACCTTGTACAACATCTAGTAAAGGTCCTAGTCTCTCCTCAGAGCTCTCTCCTTGTTTTACATTAAATGTTATTTTAGGACCTAAACATTACAAAGTCTCTGCCTTGTTAGATTCAGGAGCCTCAGCGTGTTTTTTAGATGAACAATTTACTAAAAGACATAGCATATCTTTAGTAAAGAAAACTAAACCTATTCATATAGAAATCATAGATGGTCGTCCATTGTCTTCTACAGATATTACTCACAAAACCCTTCCTATAGAAGTAATAATCAATGGTCATAATAGTTTTGTAGTATTTAATATTATTAGATCTCCCGTTAATCCAATCATTTAAGATTTATCGTAGTTAGAAAAATACAACCCTCAAATAGATTAGATTTCCTGAACTCTTACTTTTTTTAAAAGTATAACTAATAGTCTACTTAATCAAGTAGACAGTCATAAGTCCAGTTCAATTTAAATCCTATTTATAGGTGTAAAAGCTTTCTTGCATGCTGCTATAAAAGAATCACCATATATTATTTATGCCACACCCGTTTCTAGTGGTGGAAAGACTTCAAGTGGCATTCCAAGCCAATATCAAAAATTTCAAGATGTATTTAAAAAAAAGAATGCATATACACTCCAGGAACATTGTCCCTATGATTGCTCAATTGACCTTCAAGAAAGAGCACAACCGCCATTTGGACCAATCTACAGTTTATTGCAAAATGAGTTGATTGAACTCAAGGAGTATATTGAAGAAAATCTAGCCAAGAATTTCATACGCCATTCTAAATCTCCGGCAAGAGCTCCAATTCTATTTGTGAAGAAAAAAGATGGATCATTGTGGATGTGTGTTGATTATCAAGGACTCAACAAGATTACCATCAAAAACAGGTATCTACTACCTTTAATATCTGGACTTCTTGATCAACTAAATCAAGCTAAGATCTATACAAAAATAGATCTTCAGGGAGCATACAATCAAGTACACATCAAAGAAGGAGATGAATGGAAGACTGCATTTCGAACTAGGTATGGACATTTTGAATACAACGTCATACCTTTTGGACTTACAAATGCACCAGTAGATTTTCAACATCTAATGAATGATGTTTTTTGAGAGTTTTTGGACGATTTTGTGGTCTATTATCTAGACGACATCTTGATCTATTCTAAGAATCCAGAAGAACATGAACTTCATGTTCGTCGTGTGTTACAAAAATTAAGCGATGTAGGACTCTATGCCAAGATAGAAAAGTGTGTATTCCACACTACTAAAGTCGATTTCTTAGGTTACATCATTTCAAATGATGGACTTATGATGGATCCTAAGAAAGTTCAAACTATTATAGATTGGAAGATCCCAAAAATGGTAAGAGATGTCTAATACTTTTTGGGATTTGCCAACTACTATCGGATCTTCATCAAAGACTTCTCTCGAGTTACAACTCTATTTATATATTTGACTTGTAAAGACAAACTCCAATGGAATCTAGAAGCGAACATTGCTTTTGAATCTTTAAAGACAACATTTGTTTCTGCACTAATCTTGTATCGTGTTGATTTTTTCAAAGCATTCTTTATGGAAACAGATGCATGAGACTTTGCTTTGGGTGCG